TTTCAGCATCATTACTCCAGACTTCAGTGTCACATGATCCTTTAGAAATCATTCCCTGATATAACCCAGAAAGGTAATGAATAAGTCAGTAAAGATATAGCTTGTAAATAGTTGTATTGCAGCTTGCATTAACTGTGTAATATATTTTTGCTTATTTGATATTTGCATATCTTTCATTTTTACCTGTCCTGTTGCTGCTTCACCTTGCTTCCATTCTGTCTTTTCTTCATTCTTCTCTTTTCTATCTCATCGTTTTCTCCCTTGACTTAGCCACCCATTCTGTTGCTCGTAGCAAGACCTGGAGACCTCAGAGTTTTCCCTCTTCACACTCCACCCCTTCTGATTTCGACCCCTCCTCCTTTGAGTTTGGCTCATCCCCTCAAGGCACAATGACTTTACCTTCACCACGGCCCTCAAAAATCTATCGCGCCTCATTGGCTGATCCAGGCTCCGCCCTTACAAAGCCTACAAGCATGCCTTCTGCCACTGAGACAGGTACATGGGGCAGATGTTCATATATAACACATTTTTAAATTTGATGCCATTTTAATTTAAGTTTAATTTGAACCACAAATTTTATGTTCAGTACCCAGCTTTCTGAAAATGATTTGGAGGTCATAAAGAGCTATAAAGTTACTGTGAAAGACCCTATGAAAGAGTTTTATAGCTTTTAGTCCATGTTTGTTAGATTTAAGTCTGTTCATATACTTGTGTACTCCTAAAAGTTGACCAAGTTTTACCAGATAGATTACTGTTCAGAAGTTTGGCGTTGGTAAGATTTGTTTGTTTTTAAAGACGTCTACTATTATCACCAAGGCTGCATTTATTTGAATACAGTAAAGTAATAACAGTAATATTGTGAAATAATATTGTAGTTTTCCATTTCAATATATTTTAAAATGTAATTTATTCCTGTGGTGCAATGCTGAATTTTCAGCATCATTACTCCAGACTTCAGTGTCACATGATCCTTTAGAAATCATTCTAATATGCTGATTTGCTAAATATTTTTTGTGGACATCGAGATACTTTTTTCAGGATACTTTTATGAATAGAAAGTTCAAAAGAACAGGATTTATTTGAAATATAAATGTTTTGTAACATTATAAAGGTCTTTACTGTCACGTTTGATAAATATTTATTCACCTTTCTGAATGAAGGTATTAATTTCTTAAATAAAATAATCTTTCTAACCCCAAACTTTTGGAATAAAATACGTAATTTGTATGTAATGGAAAGATTAACCAAAACATTGGTGACTCTCTAGAATATCAATATCCCCTACCCTAAATTACAAATACCATCTTCCTCTAATTAACAATAGCAAGTAGCAAATGGCTGTGGCACAAGATTTAAAAAAAAAAAATAAAAAAAAATTATTTCCTTTGTTCTCTTTTTACATTTTTTCAAACATATTTGCAAATTTATGCTAATCATACCTTTTTCTTTTTTCTTCTTCTTTCTTCCCCTGTAAACACTGTCTACTTTATCATACATGCACTCTGTTATTATTTACTATGGTAAACTCCAGCATCTTGGCAAAAAGAGTGGAGGCCTCCCAAGCTGCACCCTACTCTGTGTCCTGTTCCTCTTACTTCTCCAGAACACATTAACCAAGAGTGTCATCCAGCCTCAGTGACCTCCTCTCCTCCTGCACAAACCTCTCCCTTAATGCATGTCCCCCTTCCTGCAACGTCTTCATCCAGTGTGCTTCCTCAACCAATGGACTCTACCATTACTCCCAGTCCTGCTGTAACATCTCCCAGTGTGGCTCGTTCCTCTGAGATGCCCAGCGTTGAGTCAGTCTCTACTTCTTGCTTTCAAACCCTGTCAGCTGCCATCCTCTCTCCTGCTCCAGCATCACTGGTTTCTCCCTCCATTGCTCCTGCTGCTTCATCTAGTTCTCAGTCCACCCCGTATCCATGTGTTTCTACTCTCTTGTCATCTCCTCATCTCACTCTTTCTGATGCTCCTCTAAGTTCCACTCCTGATGTTGGTCCTATGGTCACTGCACCTGTTGTTGCCGAGTCAGGTAGAGAGCAAACACTCTAGGATAACTGTATTCTAAACCTGTTTGCATGTGTTAAACTGATGAAATGATTAGTTTTCATCTGTTGAGTTCAAGATTTAAAAAATCATGCATTGTTATAGGGTTTTGGATGCCCTTTCAATGGAGCATGAATATTGTGAAATTTCTAATCCTCATCAACCATGCCTCATTTTTTAAAGGGATAATTCATCCAAAAATGAAAATTGTTATCATTTACTTACCCTCATGATGTTCCAAAACTGCTGGCTTTTGAAAATGGCATTTGGAAGTAAAATAATGATAAATGTCACTTTGCAACATCAACTCATGTTATTGAACAGAATTAAAGCAACACTGAAATTTTACATTACAATTATTATTAAGCTGCTTTGAAACAATTGTATTGTATAAAGCACCATTTAAATAAATGTAATTTCATGAAATTAAATGCATTTTAAAGGAATAGTTGACCCAGAAATGAAAATGTGTTGAATATTTACTCACCCTCAGGCCATCCATGATGTAGATGAGTTTGTTTCTTCATCAGAACAGATTTGGAGAAATTTAACATTACATCACTTGCTCACCAATGAATCCTCTGCAGTGAATGGGTGCCGTCAGAATGAGAGTCCAAACAGCTGATAAAAAGATCACAATAATCCACAAGCAATCCACATGACTCCAGTCCATCAATTAACGTCTTGTTAAGCGAAAATCTGTTTGTCTGCAAGAAACAAATCCATTATTAAGATGATTTTAACTTGTTGTTTCTGGCTAAAATATGAGTCCTCTATTCATAATACTGCTTTCTCCAGTGAAAAAGTCTGAATCTTGTCTGAATCAGGAGAGAGATATGCAGTGCCGGCCTGAAGGGTTGTGGGGCCCTAGGCAAGATAATGAAAATGGGCCCCACTAGTGTAAAAACTATAGAAATTTGACGAGTGAAGAGAAAGCACATAAAATGACTATATCAATATTTAAGTGTAAATGTGTATTAATTGTAACACGTTCAACAAACGTAAAAAATATTTAAATATAAAAATAGGAGTGCAAGTGAGCTTGAGTAAATAGATACACATGAAACACAAATAAATAAAATATAAATGAAGTAAACATAAAAACTAAATAAAATAAACAGAGCATAATATTCATAAATGACGAGAAATAAGGCCTGATTGATGATCACCAAAAAAACAAAAAAACTTTATTGCATTAGACATTGGATCCGGGTCTGTAATTATTGAATGTAACACACTAAATTTGGCTCAATTTTCCCTCATATGACAAGTCTGTCTGTGATCATGGGCATCATTGCATTTATAAAACAAGTACTAATACTACAGCAATAAATATTATGTATATAGCAGTCAAAACATCCTTTTTTCGGCTCCAGAAAGATACTGTTTGGATGCCAAACTTCACCAGTAGGTTTTGTTTTAAAGACACGTGTCATTAATTTACTTCCATATGAACCTGAATAAAAGTAAAAGAATTGTCATTTTTGGGTGAACCTAAACCCTTTAAATTGTTTCCTCTCTGCACTCATCTCCTCATCCTCATCATTCTCTCCTTTTTCTGTCATCTTCCATTCTCATCTGGTTAATGTCAACCTCAGAGCATCTCCCAGAGGTCCAGACATCCGAATGGAGGCATCAGGTTGTGCCCACAGTGGTTAGACCTAATGTGCGCAGACCAGTAGCCCCTCTTCCTGTTAATGCCCCTTCCTCTCCTTTTTCTTCCTCTCCTTTCATTCTTCCTTCGCCCTCATACACGATCCCTGACCCCCACGTTTATGCCCAAACGTCCACTGTAGCCCCTGTTATCGCCTCCATTTCAGTCCCATCCACTGACACACTCACAGGTACATATGCTGGCCTGAACCTTTATCTGCACTTCATTCTCATTCTGTGTTTGTTTGCTGTGAATATGTGTGTTGTAAATTGAGTAGATAACAGCGAACTGATTTTAAATGTTTTGAGCTAGTGAGATCTGTTTTAGATTACACTCCAACATTTCTTGCATAACAGTACAGTGTCGGAAGGCCAAACATTCCATTCTTCCCAGTGGACTGATCCATCATAACTATAAAACTGTTCAGTATTTCTGACTCACTATTTTTTGAAACATTGAAACATTTTTTTAATTGTAACTTTTTCCATAAACACACAAAAGTTTCAACAAGACAAGCTTTTGTAAAAGAGAACAGAATTGGGAGATTATCAACAACAGTCAGAAAACACATTATTTGAAAATTATTTTGTAAATCATATACTGTATTACATGATGTTACGCCCCCTGGAGGACACATGAATGAAACTACTTGGCAAAAACAAACTGTTAATATAAAATATACTATTGTTTAAACAAATGAGGTTGGTAAGTTATTTATTTATGTATTTAGTTTGTTGCTCAGTAAACATTTCTTATCATTAGGAATTCTGAAAACAGTTGTGCTGCTTAATATTTTTGTGGAAACAGTGATACATTTTTAAAGATTTTTTGATTAATAGAAAGTTTAAAAGAACAGTGCTTATTTGAAATGGAAATGATTTATAAAAATGCTAATGTATTTAGTGTCTTTTGATCAAATTCATGTATTTTTGCTAAATGCAAGTATTAATTTTTCTAAAAACAACTCTAGTGTATAATGTTAGATATAGCATATAACAGACTTATATCTATCATAATGGATGATAGATTGATAAGTTGCTTGTTGTTACATACATGTTGCTTGTATGATTTGCATGAATTTAATTAAGTACAGATCTTAAAAGCAGATCTGTACCTTAACAAACATATATGAGACTTGAAATTCCTCTATTCCATATTGTGTTCTGTGTTAACTGCAACAGATGGATAAGATTTTTAATAATGCCTAAGTAGAATGCTGGAATGCTGCTTTAGTGCTTAATATTTTGTTATAGATATACTATATTATTTTATTATGACATATTTTACATTTCTGTTTCAGAGCAACACAGACAGTTAAGTGTATTAGCAGAGGAGGAATGTCCCAATACAGTGTCTTCTAGTGAGTATACACTACAGCTGCTTTAACAGCTAACCTCATTATACTGCTGTAAATTTGAGTGTTTTCTTTGACATATTAGTAATTCTTTTGTGATGTCTGGGCATATTTCTATAGCTGATGAGGATGCAGACGCTAAGCCCACAGATGTTCATCAAAACCATGAACCTCACCCTCGCAGAGCCGGAGTCATCAGTATAGCCAACCAAAAACCAAACAGCAGTATGGACAAGCAACGGCCTGTTTTTGGACTTGAGGTTGTGCGGCCTGCAAAAGGGTGAGTCATATGTAGAAAAATGAGTTTTTTGATTGGTTGATTTCAATAACATGTGCATTGGAGTGAACAAGTGTTGGTTGACACCAGCAAAGCACTGACAATTTGATTTCAATATCTGGTATACTTGAGTGTTGCATTTAATACTTTGAGTGACCTTTTTGGGAAATCTTTGATGAAACAATAACAGCCTAATGTATTTTATTTTATTATTGAATTTAATTGGATTTTTTATTATTTAATTGTATTTAATTTAATTGGATTTTTGTGTTTGTATTGTATTATATTATGTTGAATCAGCCTGAATGTTGTTTGGTGTGTTTATAAATGTTTTTCGTAAATGCTGATAATCACTTACAATTGTGAGGACTTTAATCCTGCTCTAAAACCAAAAGTTAACAATGTTATGATATAAATTTAATCAAATTAGGCAACTGACCGCAAGGTCACAAAAGAGTTTTGAATTTTAAATTTTAGAAATGGTTACTGAAATTGTGAGGCTTTGGTTTAAATTCAGGGTTAAAGTCACTTAATTTGCTTTTTTGTATTAGTTTGTATCTTAAAACACAAGTTGGCACATTGTAATGAATGAAGGGAAAAAATATATGAGCATGTTATGTTCATACAGATGCCAGGATCATGAAAAAATTGTTTAAAAATTACTTTGCTTTACAGCATGGTTTTTCATTAACACTTCATTCATTTCCGAGAAAGGTAATTCACATTGTTTCAAGGTGATGCAATGCAGTATAATTTAGATTATTTTCGTTCTTGCTGTCTTCCCAGAACACTTCATCAGTTCTGATGTGTTTTTTTCCTAGACCAGAGAGTATGACCTCTCTGCTGCCCAGTGACCAAAAGTCACCTTCTATCACTGATGTCACATATTTTGAGCTGCCAGAATCCGAGCTGTCTGATACAGATAGAGTACACCCCCACGCAGCCCTCAAAAATGTTGCAGAACATGCTGCGGTCCCTACATTCACCGGCCCATTAACTGAGGTCCAGATCAATCAGTCAGAGAAGTCACAGAGCTCTGCTGAGCTGGCTGTTTTACACTCAGCTGCACATGAGCAGACAGAAGATGAGACGATTCCTCATAAAGACAAGACAGAGCCCTTTCAAAGTAGCGTTCAACTAGCAGAAATACAAGCGCAAGAGGCCAGCCCAGAATCTGTGCCGCAGCTGCTCTCAAATACAGAAATGTCCCAGTCAGATCATACTAATGAAGGGTAAGAGTGGAATGATGCATGTGAAGTGTGAAGTCTTGTCAAATTTGCCAGCATAGTTACTGTGTTACGTTTGAAGCTTATGCTATATTCATATAAAATGCAAATACTGTATGTGTCGCGGTCTGTTTTCTTATTATTATTTATAAATCCATTTTACATCCTCCCTCTGATCTCTGTTCTAATGTCCCTGTCCCTCAGCACCAAAAGCATGGCCGCTTTGCTGCCCTCTTGCCCAAAAGAGTCCCATTCTCCTTGGTCACCATCCATATTAGCTGATGACACAGCTGAGAATCAAATAGGAGACTTATTTGTAGACCGACTACCTTGGATGAAACAGGAAAGAGAAGAGCCTAATTTTGACAGCTCTCCATCTGTTCCCAGTATGATATATCTTCTTCCAGCCTGTCCGAGAACTGCTTTTGCACCTGGGATGCCATCTATAACCTTTCAAGACACAAAGTGGCCTTGGGATGAGTCTGTGAAGATACTGAAAGAGTACATTCAAAAGGAGAAATCGGCAAAAATTATTCAAGATATGGATTGCTCATTGTATGACCAAAGCACTGTGGAAAATATGGTATCCCTACAGTTAACTTGTCCAAGAGCTGCCAGCATCCCAGGATTCCCATCTTTGCCGTTCTATATGGTCAATCTTCTTCCATTATGTCCAGATGTCTCCGTAGTTCCAGGTTTATCTTCAAGATATCCAGTCATTTGCACAGATGAAAGCTGGCCTAAAGAGAATCTAGTATTTTATTTGAGGAAAAGCAAGGAACAGATTTTGCCAATGTCTTCAATGAAGATGGATTTTGAAACTGCAAGAAAAATGGTTGCATTGAGATCATCTTGCTCAGCAGCACCCAAGACTCCAGGATTTCCATCTGCTCCAAAACCAGTTGCACCAAGTATGGTCAGGTTTTTACCATGTTGTCCAAAGATTTCCTGCATTGCTGGATTTACATCTGCAAAAGAACTTGCCAGTCAAAATGTCTTCCAACAGTGGCCACTCAACAATCAATCATCTGTGATAATAGCACAAAGGAACCAGTCCAGTTTGCCTCAAGTTCTAAACATACTGAAAGAGGACCAGTTAACAGAGATGGTGAACTTAGTACCATCTTGCCCAAGAAAAGCATGTACTCCTGGTTTTCCATCTGCACCAAAACGAAAACAAGACATTGCTTTCTGTATGACAAAACTCCTACCTCTATGTCCAACAGCCTCTTGTGTCACTGGAATATCAGCTATAAACATTCTTACAAGCACTTCAGATTCATTTAAGGAGTGGCCAAAGGACATTAAACCATTTTGGATGAAGACACTAGCATCTCAGCCGTGTCATTTAATCTGTCCATGTCCAACTCGGTATGAAGTTACAGAAAGCAATATGCTGTCATTGATACCATCATGCCCAAGAAAAGCAAGAACACCTGGATTTCCTTCTGCACCGTGGCTCATCCCTGAAACACAAATAATGTCTGGTACTCTATCAGCATGCCCACAGACGGCTAAAACACCAGGCTTTCCCTCTTTAGTTCAAAGCAAAGTTGATAAAACTTTGGTAAATAATTGGCTTTTTAAGGAGAAAGCTCTTTGTATGAGGTGTCTGCCAGTGTACACATTTGACAAGCTAGACATTGCTTATCAGGACAAAGAGAGTTTTAAAGGAATGTATGCTATTTTGCCAAGTTGTCCAGTGAAAGCAAGTGTCCCAGGCTTTCCATCTGCACCAAAGCCCAAATTAATGGTTTATCTTTTCCATTCCTTCCCAACAGTCTCAAATGTACCTGGGATGCTATCAAGCATAATATCTGAGGTGGAATTACAGTGGCCTGTAAATAAAAGGCCATTATGGGTAAAACAATTAAGCAGAAAGATTCAGTCCATACATGCTGTTCCTCCTCAGTACAGAGAAATAAAGGATAAAGCCTTCATTAAGCATATGGTGGCGTTGCGCCCAACTTGTGCAATCAGTGCTAAATTGCCTGGCTTCCCATCTGCTCCAAGAAAAATAACTGAAAAGAAAGCACCAGATATGGTCTCCCTCGTGCCATCTTGTCCACATTTTTCAAAGGTATTAGGTATGCCGTCTGTTGACTTGGGAAATGAAGCAATAGATTCAAGTGCATGGATTCTGGATGCAAAGCAACTGTACAAGAGGTCCTCAAAGAATGAGTCCGATATGATGTGTTCTTCGTTGAATGACAACCATCTGAATTTCCACATAGAAGACATGGCTATGATTACGCCATCCTGTGCAAAGCAATCCAATATCCCTGGTTTTCCATCCAAATATCCAGAATCTCCACATATGCTTTATCATGCAAATAATACCCAAGCGTCACCAGAAGATGTTGGCCATAAACAAGAAACTTCAACTGTGCTTAGTCCAGCAGATACTGAGATAGACCTGTCCAGTGCAAACAATTCTGACAATATTATTGCATTAGAGAAGGCCAAGGAAAATGTGAACTTTTGGGCAAGATGTGAGGAAGGACAAAAGGGAATTCTGGAGAGGGGGTAAGTTCAGAATTGCCCAAGTGTTTTTTTTTTCAAAAAGAAGACATTTTGCATTGCACTTTCTGCAGGCAGTGGATAGTGCATGAAATACTTTGACAATTGTTTCTAGGAAAATGCATTGCAGAATGTGGCACGCCATACCAGACATGCCACTATTACTGACAGTTGAGGAGAGGTGAGTTTTGCAAGGAAACATAAAACAGAGAATTTATTGCTTTGCCTTGTCGCAACTGCATCAGATTTTGTCCACCTGTATATAACATTTATATCCTCTGCTCTCTTAAAGGCATAGTTCAACCCAAAATGAAAAATCTGTCATCATTCACTCACCTTTATGTTGTTCCAAACCTATATGCATTTCTTTCTTCTGTTGACACAAATTAACATATTTTAAAAAATACGTCAGTGTTTTTTGACCATACAAGTTTAGAACAACATGAAGATAAGTAAACGATGACAGAATTGTCATTTGGGTCACCAGTGCCTTTAACATCATAAATGCATAATGGTGTGAAAACTAAGCACAGCTTGTGAGTTGTAACAGAGACAATTTAGGCCTGCATCACGTATACTGAATCAGTTAAATGGCTGCCAGTAAACAGAATGATGCATGCAGTCAAATCTTCTTGCAACCTCACATCTGACATCTGATTATATGCTTATTTTTCTCAGATGTCAAAGCATAAGTGCTCAGATTCCACCTTCTGAAAATTACAGAGACACTCTGGTTAAAAACGATGACGTGGATCAAGGTGTATTATGGACATCCCAAGACAGTCCAGAAGAGTTTGCTGAAGGTTTTAACCAAGAAGAGACTACAAAAGATCATAATAGAATGGTACCTTCAACAGCTGAAGATCAGCCTACAGGACTGCAACAAGAGTGTGTCCCAAACATGGTAGATCTTCTTCCATCATGTCCGCTGTTCACAAGAGTTTTTGGATGTCCATCAACAGCACTATCTAGCATATGTAAAACAGACATAATCAACTGGCCTACTGATTTAAGTATAATTTGGGATGAGTCACGTAACTCACCAAAAAATATTTTAATGCAAAACTTGGAAAAATCCCCCTATGAGGCAAATATGGTGTCCCTGACATGCACATGTCCAAATGAAACAAGAATTCCTGGCTTTCCATCTGCTAAGAGACCCACAGAGGCCCCGTGTATATCTTTTCCAGAAACATTTGTTGTTGTTGACACTTCTTCACAGACCCCAATTCCAGAGGAAAAGCATCATGAGGAGTGGCTGAGTATGGAAACATCATTATTGGAAGAACATCCTAAAGCAATGCCAATTTTACACATCGAAAGCCCAGTTGAGTATTCAGAGACGACTATAATGATGGTGGATACAGTTCCATCTTCAAAACTTGATTTCACATCTGCCCCAAAGAGTGAAGAAATACTTATTCAGTCATGTGAAGAATTAATTCTTCAAGAGCCTACAATTGCTAAATCAGAACTGAGGGATGATTCAAAGCCTGCAAATGAGATATTAACCTTTGTGTCTGAAAATGCTGCACAAATGCAGGGTATCCTTGAAACCCAAGCAGAGCCAAATATGTTGGAGCTCCTTCCATCCTGTCCGGTGCTTTCTAGAATCCCTGGATGTCCTTCTCTAAGGGTCCTTGAAGGCATGGAGTGCATTAGTGGTCAAGCTGTAATCTTTTGCAATTTATTAAAAGATAAACAGACTGGTATTTTTGGCCCCATTAAAGATGAAAAAGGCTCCCAGATTATAGCTCTGGCACCAACATGCCCAAAAGCATCATGTATTCCAGGCTTTCCATCTAGATCACATCGTAAATCACAGATGGAGCCGAACATGCAAAACATTTGTACCTCTTGCCCAGAGATTTCGCATATAGCTGGTTGTCCGAGCATCCAGACCCCTAAGATGTCCAATTGGCCTTTGAGTACAGTTATTTTGTGTACAAATCCATTAAAGAAACCCCCTGTTGTTTTGGACATGGACAAGATATGCAAAGAAAACGGTCATAGAATGTTTGCTTTGGCACCTACATGTCCATCAGTGGTCTGTGTTCCAGGTTTTCCATCTGTGCCCGAGCCAATAATGCTGCACATGCTTCCCACTTGCCCAGAGAAGTCTAATGTTATAGGATTTTCTTCTAAAAAGGAGCATTTAGATTGGTTTGTTGACAAGAAAACATTGTACAATGTATCTTTTAAAAAGCAACCTGTTGTTCTTAATGACAGAGTTGATTGGCTTAGTGAATTAACTAAAATAATGTTTGCATTGGCTCCAACCTGTCCATCCAAGGAAAGAATACCAGGATTCCCACATGCACACAAGCGCAAAGCTACACTTCCCGCCAGTATGGCTGATCTACATCAGTGCATTCCAAAGAAGTCAAGAATCATGGGATTCTCATCAAGTGAGGGAATAAACGCAGTAACATGGTTTGAGAATGAAAGGCCCCTGTTGGAGAGGCCACTGAGAACGAGGTCAGAGCTGCTTGTCCAGTTTAATTTCGCAACTCCGTATAAAGAAATAGACAAAAATATTTTGCAGAGGATGTTTGCACTAGTACCCACCTGCCCAAGAGAAGCATGCATACCTGGTTTCCCTTCTCTACCTCAGGTTAAAGTGGAGGGTTTCTATCTCCATAAAGAACCAGATGTAGTCAGCCTTTGGCATTCTTGCCCAAAGTTTTCTTTTATTGTAGGTGTTCCTACAGTAAGATCTGTGCCCATAGAAGAGTCTCAAGAAAGCATATGGTCCACTCAGAAGCCCATATGGGTTAAACCTCTTAAAGAAAGCCCGTTTTGGTCTTTAAGTTATACAAAGGATAATGAAGAATATTCAAAAACCATGTTCTTGCTTGCCCCTACGTGCCCCGATAAGGCCAGAAATGATGGTTTTCCATGCTCAGAAAGGCTTAAAAAAGAAGAGGGTCCAGTGAAAACTGTCTTCCCAACTTCTCCAGAGGCTCCATTCTCTGCAACCAATGAAACAGATTTTAGTCACCTGGTCCCTGAAGTGCCATGTTCCCCAGTTGAAGCAAGGCTTCCTAATTTCCCAGATGAAGCAAGGCTTCCTGATTTCCCAGATGCTTCTACGTATGCAATATCTTCATCAAGTACAACCCAAGAACACACCAAATTTGAAGCCAAATTCACCCAATACATAGAATCTGAAAGAAATCAAACACTGGATATAACAGGGCCTGGTAAGAGACCCATTTTTAGAGTGTGGCTTGAACATTGAGCGATATGTATTCTCAGAAATCTATTAAAAAAAAACTTTTTTTTTTTAAAGAAAATCCTAAAGAAATAGGAAGTTCTTATGAAATGCCCTTGGCTGAAGGGTGAGTTACATAGCGTGTTTTTGTGTGTGGTGTGTGAAAACACTTTTAGAAGTAAATTTGTGTTCTTTTGTTGCATGTGCAATATATTGTTTTGACATTTGACATTGTTTGCCACATTTATTTTACTGTAGTTATTTTACATGTATTATATATTATTTCTTGACATTTTTGAGGCTTAATGGGAGCTTTATGCAAGTCTGTTCATGTAAAGACAACACCCATTGTGTCATTCAAAATAATTAAATAAAGCATGGCTCAACATGTTTTGTTTTGACCTGATTAATATCTGACTTTTTCTTTACTAACTTTGTTATCACCTGACTGTATGTTGTGCCTAAAAACACCTTTGGTGCATGTACATGAGAGAGAGACGCATGGCATGTAAATTGCATCATGGACCATGCTGACTATTGAACTATTCTTTATCAGTATTGAAAACCATGAGGTGAAGTTTTTTCTGGAAGAGCAACATGTTGGGGAGCAGTCAGCTAGTAAAACTCATGATACTGCAGAGCCTGGAGAGAATGCTATAGCGTTAGGATGGGAAGTTTTGGAGGCAGATGATAATTCCACTGAAAAAGAAGGATCTTCTGGTCTTGTTAGGACTATAGTTGATGTCTTTCACAGAGGGTAAGATTAAATAACATAACTGGGTGAAATCACTGAGCATGTTTGCTTTGATTTTATTTGAAAAACACTTAGAATCTATGTAGACCTGTTTCATTTTTTAGTTTTGTAAGATTAAATCCTGAGAAATGATGAAAACTACTCAAACCCATATTCCAATATGTTCTTTTGTTAAAGTCATTCATTTTCATTAGTATCATATTTTTACGTTTATTTTTCTGGAAACTTTCTTTTGTACTTTTTACATCTCAAGTGTTGCTTTCTTTTAGTTATGAGACAGTTGCTGCAATATTGCAGCCCTCTAGCTCTGGATCAGTCACAGACACGGACACTTTAGATCCTCTCGACAGTCTTTCATCCTCTGTGGATCCCGAGGACAGCGCCACTCGCATGGCCACTGGATGTGATCATTCATTGGAGGCACTCGTACAGGCAGCGGAGTCTGAGGTCTTTGATTCTGCTGAACCCTACATGTGGCGTTTGGTTGGTGGTTGTTCAGAAACATCACTGTCATCAAAAGAGACTGAAAGCTGGTTCGTTGAAGATGAAGACTTTTGCCTAATGAGGAAGTGGCCCCCTTTAACAGAGGCTGACCTTCATGAGATAAACAAAGAGGAGGAGGACAAAGCAGATGTTGACTCATTGATACAGGAGTGTACATCTTCGGTTCAAGAGGAAACTGGTAATGATGAGATTGTGACAAAAAGTAAAATGTTGAAGGATGAGTTGTCAACCACACTATTTCCAGAGGAGGGGTGAGTTCATCAGGAGTGTTGCATTCAAACCCAACCTGCAAGTCCTGTAAACGGCAGCACGGCTATATTCGTTTTTCTTTTAGTGTTTTCCAACTCACATCTGCACACAAATTTGCACTGAAATGGCTTTTATGTTGGTTTTTTGGTTGTTGTTTTTTTTTTCCTCTAAATATTATGTCCATGTGTCTAATTTAGCTTTTTGCCCTAAGGTGCAGTGTGTAATTTCAGTGCCCCTAGTGGCACCAAATGGAATTGCAAATATTGATTGTGTCCAGATATGCAACACACCTACTGCCCTTTCATTTTAGCCCCTTCTTCCATTGTTTGGCCAGATGGTTTGTCCTGCCAAAAATCAGGCCATTGAAATGTTTAAGCAGGCTAAAACGATTTTGAAAACTTGTGTATCTGCAAATTAAACCGGGAAGAGAAATTGTTTTAAAACAAAGAAATTACGCACTTCACCTTGAAAGACGTTTATTTGTTCAGCTAAGATTGTAAGCTGTGATCTTCTGTGCTTTTATTACCAAATCCATCGTTGTTGTGACTTTTATTTACTCGTTGCATGATGCAAAGGTATGTGCAATTTCTGAAGGCAGCATTTCATGCAGTGGTACAACTGCTTGCTAAACAGGATGTTTGGTTGTGATTTATAAGTGTGTCATGGTACAGTCAGTGCATTCATTATCTCAACAGAAAATAAAGTAGTGATACTGTATTTTTGTTCTTAAGGCCACAACATCATTTTGTCCAAGAAGTCTCTCTTTTCATCCAACGGACTAAGGACGAATTGCTGGATGAAGAAAAAACACCTATGTCCTTACTGTCTTCAATAAATTCTCATAACCCAAAGACTATCACAGAACAGACTGTTTCAGCTTCAAAAGAACCTGTGCCACCAAGAAGGACTAAGAAGCAAGACATTCTTCAAGAGACATTTCCATCATCATCACCAGTTTCCAACCCAGCTGAGCCAACTGCTCAGAGTGACAACATCTGTGTCATAAAACAAACTGATCATTATTCTCAGAGTACATCACAAATTGTACAGCCAGATACCCCACTCACAACCATCCAGAGATCTTCCGCTCTGGTAGATGAGGGTACATCTTTAGAAACGGATCGCTTGACAGATGTACCTGTCCCACTGACAAGCACTTCTTTTCCTGATGGGACCTCTGTGATAGAAGCAGCTGAAAATGTAGTAAAAGTATCCAAAATTGAGATTTCTTCACCAGAACCCAAAGAGAAGCCCACACCCAAAGAAATTATAACATCATGTCATAGCAACAGCAAAGAAAATGTTCCCCTAGTGCCTGCGGAAGACACAGTCACACAATTACATGCTCCTCAGAGGCGGAAGAATAAAGCTCAAACCAGCAATGTTGATGAAGCTGTTGGAGAGTTTGAAGAAAAGAGTACATTGTCTTCTGTCATCACCAGTATGTCCCAGTCTGAAGACAAAAGAAAGACCCATGGTGGTGATGAATTGAGCATGAAAGACCAGGTACAACTGGATTTGAATGTTCCTGAGGTGTCGGAAGTAAAAATGCGAATCAAATGCACTGATCTTCCAGTCCCAGTGCCACGTGTAAAGAAACGTCTCAGTGGATCTTTTGCAGATGATCTTCCTTCTCCTTCATCCACCCCTTTATCTGAAGCAGATCCAGGTAACATTGTTCTCCAAACAGAAGACCATCAAGATTCAAGTCTTCCAGTCCCAGTGCCACGTTCAAAAAAACATCTCAGTGGTTCTTATACAGATGATCGCCCAGCCCCTTCATCTCAAGCAGATTCAGACAACATTTTTCTCAATACAGTAGACCATCAAGATTCAAGTCTTCCAGTCCCAGTGCTACATGTGAAGAAATGTCTCAGTGGTTCTTTTCCAGATGATCTTCCAGCCCCTTCATCCACCCCTTTATCTGAAACAGATCAAGGTAATATTGATCTCCAAACAGAAGACCATCCAGATTCAAGTCTTCTAGTACCAGTGCCACGTGTGAAGAAACGTCTCAGTGGTTCTTTCCCAGATTATCTTCCAGTCCCTTCATCAACCCCTTCATCTCAAGCAGATTCATACAACATTGTTCACAATAGAGAAGACCATCCAGATTCAAATCTGCCACTTCCAGTCCCACGTGTAAAGAAACGTCTCAGTGGTTCTTTTCCAGATGATCTTCCAGCCCCTTCTCCCTCCCTTCCATCGCAAGCAGGTTCAGATAGCATTGCTCCCCAAACAGAAGACCATCCAGATTCAAGTCTTCCAGTCCCATTGCCACGTGTGAAGAAACGTCTCAGTGGTTCTTTTCCAGATGATCTTCCAGCCCCTTCATCCTCCCTTCCATCGCGAGCAGGTTCAGATACCATTGCTCCCCAAACAGAAGACCATCGAGATTCAAGTCTTCTAGTCCCGGTCCTACGTGTAAAGAAACGTCTCAGTGGTTCTTTTCCAGATGATCTTCCAGGCCCTTCATTCACCACTTCATCTCAAGCAGATTCAGACAACATTGTTCTCCAAACGAGAGACCCTCAAGATTCAAGTCTGCCAGTCCTGGCTTCACGTGTGAAGAAACGTCTCAGTGGTTCTTTTCCAGATGATCTTCCAGCCCCTTCATCCTCCCTTTCATCTCAAGCAGGTTCAGATAGCATTGCTCCCCAAACAGAAGACCATCAAGATTCAAGTCTTCCAATGCCAATGCCACGTGTGAAGAAACATCTAAGTGGCTCATTTCCAGATGATCTCACTGTTCCCTCGAGTTGTCCACCTGCTGTAGATTTACTTAACATAGTCCTTGAAGGAGTACCAAGTGATGCAAGCATACCCATCCCAATTCCCCACTCAGAGAAACTCAGTGATAAGTTCTCTGATGAGAACCTTCCAAGCTTTCCTCAAGAAGAAGGCAAGCTTCATCTCTCAGAAAACAAACAATGTTCTGTTGAAGTGGACACGCAGGTGAGGGCAGAAGCAGAGATTGAGAGCCTTGAAGATTGCACCACCTCAAGTGCCAATGAAGTAGAGCAAAACAGAAAAGGCCTGGAGGAGTCTGGTTTAGAACCTGTTGGCCAGTTAGTACCTGATGTAACAGTTATCAGTGAAAAACCTAAGACTGGTGCTCCACTTGGTGAACATTGTAAGGACAAATGGGATACAGACCAACAAATTGAAAAAGATAAAAGTGTTGAGGAAGAAAAGGATGCTGTACATTCTGGAGATTATGAGGTTGATTTGAGCATGGACACTGTAGATGACACAGGTGTTATCATAGATGTATTTAGGTAAGTCTCACAGGATAAACTGTTGCAACATTTGTAGACATTACAAATGCCAATTTTTGACAAAATTGCAGTAATTGCTCTCTAACTGGTGCTCTAACTGTCTTTTCATCCAATACTGGTGTTCCTTTGATGTTGGGTTTTCAAAAACAATGCGTTTAAGAATAATTTACTCATTATGGGTTTGACCTTTAAGTTAAACTGTTTGTCTTTATGAAAAATGTGCATAATGTAAATAAAAATAAATAAATGATTGTTTGATGCTGTTGTTGGTGCTTGTTTAATTTTGTTGTTATGCATACGTTGTTTATGCAAAACTAAATCTAAATTTCTTTTAGGCTTCAGAGATATATCTACATGAGTTAAATAAATTTTGCAATACTAGATTATTTAAATGTAGAAATCAGTTTTGTTTAACATTTCTTCTCTTTCTTTAATCCAGACAAGAATTAGCTGAAGACTCCTCCAGTCTTCCTGTGCCAATGCCTCGCGTGAAGAAACGTTTAAGTGCCTCTTTCCCAGAAGACGTCTCCATTCCCAGTTCCTCATCAGCCAATCAACATGAGGTTTCAGAAAAGGCCAATAATGAGCCGACAGTGCCTGTTCGTAATAAACGAAAAGCTGCAGCAGATGCCTTAGACCTTCAGGGAAGTTCCACAGCTCACACATCGCCAACCACTGAAACAGAGGTTGTTAAATCTGCTGCTTTTTAATTACGTTGATCATATTACCATAGTGACATCAATGAGCAGGTGGTTAATTTGTTTTTGCCTTCGATTCTAGATTGCGACCTTGGTGAATTCAAGTCAGTCTCTGCTGGAATGGTGCCAAAAGGTCACACAAGGTTACAAGGGCGTCCGGATAACAAACTTCAGCACCTCATGGAGAAACGGCCTCGCTTTCTGTGCCATCCTGCATCACTTCCATCCAGATAAAGTGTGGGTGTTTTTTATGTGGAAGAAGCCATTAAGCTCATTTCATAAATGTTACATGGGTTATGTATTTTTTATCAACCCAGTTCTACTCAGTATTTTGTCTATTTGTTTGTTATTCTGTCTTTAGAAATTATGAAATGCTGGATCCATATGACATTAAGCGCAACAGCAAGAAGGTGATACACCCATTTTCAAATTAGATAATGACTTTTTTCTTTTTTTAATTCTCTTTGACTGATCTAATTGACTGACCCTATTTAATGTTGTTATATTTTAAGTCTAAACTGTATGTTCAAGTTTTACTGTACAAAACAAATTACAAGGCCATTTTTGCTGTGCACTTACCTTAATGATTATAATTCTGTGATCAGCAAATGGCAAAAATGAAGATTTCCTTTCCTGTATTCATAGGCGTTTGATGGCTTTGCCGAACTGGGCATCTCTAGGTTGATAGAGCCCTCTGACATGGTGCTGCTGGCAGTGCCCGACAGGCTCATCGTGATGACGTATCTCAACCAGATCCGCACCTATTTCACGGGCCAGGAGCTCAGTGTCATACAGATCGAGAAGAACAGCAGCGAGTCCAGTTACGCTGTTGGAGAGAAGAGGGAGGAAGCCGATCCTGAAGCCGCTGTTCGCTACTGCGCAGAAAGGCTCCAGGGCAGCGGCATTACTCTTGAGACCAATGGATGCTTCCCTGAAAAGGAGGTCAAGGAAGGTGCTGGTGTTTTGGTGCCACCTCCAAGAACGAAGCGAACGCAGGGCCCGAGCCAGGCTGGAGGATCAGGGTCCACTCAGCCTCCGGTGGCACCACCAAGAACTCACACCTCAAAGGCTTTTTCTCATCTCAAGGATGCAGATCTTGTTAAAAAGCGCAGATCGAAGCTGCGGGGAGAGTCACTGGATGAGCCTGAACCACACGAACAGCAGAGCGGTACAGAGGTGAAACATTTCAACTATACTTTACTGGGCAGATGTTTGGAATTATTAAAAAAGAAATTGAAAAAAGTCTCTCATGCTCACCAAGGCTGAATTTATTTGAACATACTGTATTTTAATATATAATTTATTCCTGCGATGGCAAATATGAATTTTCAGCAGCCATTACTCCAATCTTCTGTGTCATATGATCCTTCAAAATCATAAGTTACATTTTAAAATAGAAAACAATTGTTTTTTATTGTAATAAGATTTCATAATATTAGTTTTACTGTATTTTTTTAATTATTAAATGTAGCCTTGGTGAGCAAAACTTAGTGTTTTTGAAAGAGACTTCTTTCAAAAACATAAAAAATATTAATTATTCAAATTATTATTTTGACCAGTAATGTTATATTTATATGTTATTAGTGGTGCTGTCAAACGATTAATCGCATCCAAAATAAAAGTTTTTGATTACATCATATATGTGTGTGTACTGTGTATATTTATTATGTATATATAAAGACACACACATACAGCATATATTTTGAAAATATTTACATGTATTTACGTGTATATATTTATATTCATATAAATTATATCATATATAAATATATTTAATATATAAATGTAACATTTTTCTTAAATATATACATGCATGTGTGTGTGTGTGTGTGTGTATTTATATATACATAATGAATATACACAGTACTCACAAAAACTTTTATTTTGGATGCGATTAATCACGATTAATCGTTGACAGCACTAGTTATTAGTCTTAAATTTAATAGTATGGTCAGAGCTTGAAGACGAGTTTGAAACACATACACAAAATTGTTGATAATAACTATCATGCGTAAAAGCTAAAAGCTAAACGTTTTAAGTGAAATGAGATTTGTAAATGGTCTGTGTACTTTGCAGTTTCATGCATTTTTCATGAAATTCATTTTAACCAAACATATACAGTATTCAGATCATTATACAGGACTCATCATGTGTGACTGTATAGATGTTTTGTGATGGCTCTTGTTTACAGTGTGCTCTCTGTTTAATTCAAGTTTTTGAACATGTGATGTTGTTTCATGAGAAAGATATTGTTTTTGGAACTGGGTTGTATAGCACTGTATTTTTGTCTCCTTGTGAGGGTAATTATTTTCAAATTTTCTTATAATTGAGTTATCTTTATAAACAGTGTATTACTGAGCTGCTGCGCATTATGTTTTTGTACCCAGGCTGCATCAGTCCAAGCAGAAAGTGAAGCAGCCAAAGGAGGCTCAGAGTCACGTAAGATTTAACTCAAAACATACTTTTCAAAAACGTTATGTTCAGAGACACTGACATGTTAAATCCATAACTTGTGCTTAACATATTTTCTGCAAAATGTAAGAAATTCTGAAAGTTTTTTGGTTGTATACTATTGTAACGTAAATTAAAGGACCTATTGCATGCATTTAAACAATTTGATTAAGATGTATTGTTCTTCTGTTTATATATACATGCATGTGTGTGTGTGTTTGTGTGTATTTATATATACATAATGAATATACACAGTACTCACAAAAACTTTTATTTTGGATGCGATTAATCACGATTAATCGTTGACAGCACTAGTTATTAGTCTTAAATTTAATAGTATGGTCAGAGCTTGAAGACGAGTTTGAAACACATACACAAAATTGTTGATAATAACTATCATGCGTAAAAGCTAAAAGCTAAACGTTTTAAGTGAAATGAGATTTGTAAATGGTCTGTGTACTTTGCAGTTTCATGCATTTTTCATGAAATTCATTTTAACCAAACATATACAGTATTCAGATCATTATACAGGACTCATCATGTGTGACTGTATAGATGTTTTGTGATGGCTCTTGTTTACAGTGTGCTCTCTGTTTAATTCAAGTTTTTGAACATGTGATGTTGTTTCATGAGAAAGATATTGTTTTTGGAACTGGGTTGTATAGCACTGTATTTTTGTCTCCTTGTGAGGGTAATTATTTTCAAATTTTCTTATAATTGAGTTATCTTTATAAACAGTGTATTACTGAGCTGCTGCGCATTATGTTTTTGTACCCAGGCTGCATCAGTCCAAGCAGAAAGTGAAGCAGCCAAAGGAGGCTCAGAGTCACGTAAGATTTAACTCAAAACATACTTTTCAAAAACGTTATGTTCAGAGACACTGACATGTTAAATCCATAACTTGTGCTTAACATATTTTCTGCAAAATGTAAGAAATTCTGAAAGTTTTTTGGTTGTATACTATTGTAACGTAAATTAAAGGACCTATTGCATGCATTTAAACAATTTGATTAAGATGTATTGTTCTTCTGTTTTGTTTGTGTAGAAAACGTAGAGAATGTTGAAGAAGCCACTGCAGGAGAGAATCAGGTCATTTGACGATTTTCATTCAACTTAGTCGTTTGAAATATTGGCTAAATATAAAAAGTATTTTATAGATTGGCTTATATGTAATAGTATTGTATAGTAAACTAACTCCAAACCAATATTTTATAGGGTTGTAAAATGCGTATACATGGGTGTGAGTATTTGCATGTGTGTTTATGATGTGTTTGTGTATTTGCAGGATGTCAGTCAATATGTACTTAGTGAGATGCAGGCTGTGGAGGCTGAACAGAAGCAGATAGATCGCAGAGCAGACATTGTGGAGAGGAAACTAAGAAGACTTATGGAATCTGGTAAATCACTGATTA